ACGAGAACGATTTACTTTTGCAATTGGTCGTAATTTATGACTCAAAAGTGCTGTAGGTACGAGTGCCGGCGGCGGAACCGAACCTCGTATGTGAGGCAGCGAAGACTCAACAACTGAATAGATTGCCTCTCAATGAATGAGAAAGATTTGAGCCGTGGGTCCAGCTCTCTGGAAATCGAGCGAAGAAGGAAATCCAATTTTCCGCCGCCAGGTCGCGACCGCGGAATTCATCCCGGCAGATTAATATTTCAAACGGGGATCCAGGATGAGCGGCGGGGAGGAAAAATCAAGTTGCACCTCGACTCTTAAGCAAAGTTATTAAATGGGCAATTATGTATCGAGAGTTGAGCTCTGTCCGCACACCCTCCGAGAACTCCGCATAGTGGAGTCATGCGGTGGCGAGGTTGCCGCCCGGAAAATAAAGAGGAGGAATAATTAATTAGGGATGTTCTTATGTAGCTGGGCGAAAGTTAAAAATTGAGGACATTCCAGGGTGAATAAAGTAGAAAAATCAAGTTCGTCGTTTCCATTGGAAGTTGTGTTTTCTCAATTCTGGACGATTTTTGGGACCTAAAAACGTAAGTGGTCCCAATTTTTGCGGATTTTTTTTTTTTTTTTACACGGTTTCGCCTATTCAAATCTTAGCTATTCGTGACAGTCATGAGCGTTTGACGGTTGTGAATTTTGAAAAATAAACGCAGCACCCGCTGCCATCTTTGATAACGTTGAAACGTTGTGTGCACTGTTTTCTAGGTATGATTTTGAAGCTAAAACCTCTACTTGCAGACCTTTCCTAGCGGACCATTGAGAACGGCGATTTTTGGATAATCGGTATAAACACTCATGTACATGGGGAAACTAACGGTACATGCGTTGTTTCTGAACTGGAACAAATTGTAGTTTCTACTGAAAATTAAGTCCAATTGATGTTCCAATGTCCATAGATTTCCACCAGGGCAACGGGGCCGGGGGTTTGGAAGCTCGGCTTAGGCATGCTGACCGAAGCTCAGATCGCGTCACATCAAGATTGTCAGATTGTGCAATATAACGTAGAATTTTTACATTTGATGGATTTCGACGAAGCAGCCCGAGACAATGGTGACATAAAAAAACAAGGGGGGAACTCGGAAACACGGTTAAAAATACAACATTAAAAACGCGAGACGTTTTGACTCAATACTGAGTCATTTTCAGTCGGAAAATATGTTAAAAATTAAAAAATATCGAGGAAAAACCTGAGACCTACATTTTGGTGGCCGCAATCAGAGAAAAACCTAGGAAAGGAAAGTTTTTTTTGGATCTCGGCCACCAACATGTAGATCTCAGGTTCTTTTTCGATATTTTTTAATTTTTAACATATTTTCCGACAGAAAATGACTGTTCTGAGTCAAAACGTCTCGCGTTCTTAGTTTTGTATTTTTAGCCTTGTTCCCCGTTTTTGTCCCTGAGTCAAACCTGAGTCATTTTCAGTCGGAAAGTATATTAAAAATTAAAAAATATCAAAAGAACAACCAGAGACCTTCATGTTGGTGGCCGAGATCCGAGAAAAACCTTTCCTGGCCTTTCCTTTCCCAGGTTTTCTCCGATCGCGGCCACCAACATGTAGGTCTCAGGTTTTTATCCGATCTCTTTTAATTTACATTAGGTCATACGGGAAAAGCGCGAGTATTCGAGGATTTCTGGCAACAGTGCGCGGCGTCGTCGGTCGGCGTCGCCGAACTCCCCGGGTCCGGGGCCCGGGGGAATCGGTTGAGAGGCGGCTAACAAGCTGCCCCTCGAGTGCCCGTTCATAAAACAGAGCTGCGAGCCCGAGACACTCTCCGCCCCTTGTTAGTTTAGTATTCCGTAATAACATCTTTGGCCCCCCGCCCGCCCCCCGTCCCCCGTCCAATATCTGCACGGAGGATCTGGCGATCCCCGATCGGCGTATCTTCTATCTCCTCCGCGGCGGCGCGGCTCGGCCGGGAGATGGAGATGGAGAGCACCCACGTGGAAACCTCCTCCGAGGCCGCCGAGGCAGTCCTGAAATTATATCACCCCCGGATCCCGGATTCCGTGTAATTTTCACTTTTCAGCGCGGTCCCGTGCCCAGCTCCGATCGGGCGAGCTCGTTAAAGCTCCGCTTCCACAGGCGTTGCGCGACGATGTGTCAAGTCGACCGCGCGACTAGGTCAGGGATGATAAATTTCATGCGGCACTTTCAAATGAAACTTTGAAATACTTCTACGAGTAACTCAGTATGCCATAAACGCAAAGAAACAGTAAAATCTTAAATATGAAATAGGTTCAAAAAGTGTATACAAATATTCCAACTTTTATCGAACTATCGCACTATTGCTCGGCACTATTGCATAGCATCGTCATTATTCTTTAATTATTTTTACACGCGGAAAATGTACTTTGATCACATCCTTGCAGCTGCAAGAGCTCCACTCTAAACTCGTCTCTGTTGATATTGATGGGAAAATTCGAGTCATCAATGTCTACATGCAGTCAGGTTTAAAACCACCACTCGCAGTTGCGCGAATCTGCCGAAAAAGGTTGACCTCGCGCAACCAATTCCGCGTCACGTGCTGCCTGTGAAAAACGGCCTGCACCCGGTGCGTCAGGTGTGTTCCGATTATCCCTGTCTTCGCTTAGCTTCATCATGCTGAAGTAATTGAATCGTTTATTTACAAAAAAGCCCTTGTGTAAAACCCCACAGAAGGAGCTTTGAGAGTCATTAGCCATGGCGGATAATAGGAAGGAAGGATCCGATCACGTCGATGGTCAATCTGCAGAAATGCGTGTATCGATTTGCGGTGTGCAGACTTCTTGTTATACTTTACTCTTTACATGGAAAACCACTAAACGTTATTTCTTAAAAATTTCGGAGATTTTTCTTCTCTATGTAAAGAATATTCTGTGAAAAGTTCAAGCCATGATGTTGATTTGGACTCCTTCTAAAAAATAAAATAGGAGCGGAGATTTTGAAACACCGCAACTGAGATACGCATTTATGCAGTTTCACTATCGACGAGTTCTCGGCACTAGGACCCTGTCTTAAACAATTGGTCCAACTGGAACAAAACAGTGAAGAGGAATCATTTGTTTTGTTGGTTTTTTTCTAGACAGAATCGACCTTAATACGACAATAACGCTTCAAAAATGTTTTAAATATCTCTATAAAACGTATTTTTTACGGACATTTCTTTAAAAAGAGGGGGAAATGAAATATTTCAAAAATGACTTTCACACAGTGCTGCCATTTTATTTTACCAAGTATTCCGGGATTTTCTTAATTAATTCTGATCCCTCAAGTTCCGAGCAAAATTCCAATTTTTTCAAAAGTTCCGGGGGAGTTTCCGAAAAACGCCCGGATTTAGTTTGAAAGATTGTCTTTGATCAAATAATCGGCAAAACTGACAAGAAACCCTGAATTTCCGAGAAAATTCAAAAAAATTCAAAAATAGCTAAAATTTCCGGAAATTTCAAGGATTCCGAAGAAAATTCTAATTACTTGAAAAGTTCCGAAATTCGGAATCAATTCCGGAAAATGGCAGCACTGCTTTCACAAATCATTCCTACCGGTCAAGAGGCCGCAAAACCGTCTTTACGGCAAATCCAAAATTTCACGGTTGCATGATGACGGTGTGCCATAATTTGAACTCTAAAGCTTGCTGCCTGAAAATTTGACACCTCAAATTTGTGGTTCTAATTAAAGTTCAAACAAGGCACGCGGTAAAACAGAGGAGGGTATAGTTTTTTGACCTACTGACTATTGTTTGATCAAGCTATTATAGCCCGACGCTTTTGACTAAACCGCACAGCCCAACATAGTACAACTCGGATGCCTGATGCCTGAGGTTTGCGTTCATTTTTTTTTAACAAGTTCGCCTTTCATTCACACCAGTGGTGTGGCGTACTTTGCGATATATCGATTGATCTGCCATTTAAACCTAGGGAAAATAATCGATAAACCGGGTGTTCGCAACGAACGCCTTGATAATCGAATCTTTATCATAACTTCAAATGGGGGAAATATCGATAATCGATCATTCACACCTCGCCACTGATTAACACCCTCCAGAAGCACTTTCCGGTTTAGCGATTGTGAGAATATAAAAATTCACCAAAGATTTCGTCATTTCCTTCACCAAAGAACGTAACTGCATTGCAATATTGCCAAATTTCCACTCAAAGATTGCGTTTTAAACCAGGCGAATCCTGGGCAAACTAAAAAATTTACCGATTTTTCCTATATGATCTCATGCAATGATCAGAAAAAATTTGGACGTACATTGCGCGATTATATTCGCGAGTGTATTGCGCGAAAAAATTAAATGGTTCGAGTCAACTTTGCAACCTTGGAATGAAGTTACGTTTCTTTGTCCGGGAAAAGACGACTCGATTCCTATTTAAGCACTGTTCGTTGACCTCAGAGTAGCTCAGAGGCGATTTATTTTTAAGACCTCGCACAGAATGTCATTTTTGGCGAGGGAACGTAGCCATATTCCAATGTTAACAAATTTCACCGCGCAAATTTCATTTTTACCAGGAGAATCTTGAGAATTTGTCGCCGAAAATTTCTCTGAATTTTCCTCTGATCTCCTACATAAAAATCAAAAAAATTTAAAACGAAAATTGCGGAGGTGTATTCTTGTAAAATTGTATTGTTTGAGTCAATTTTTCAACCTCGGAATGGACTTACGTTCTTTCGTCCGGAATTCGACAAAAATTGAACCATACTTTTACTTTCGGGAAATTTCCGAAGGTATGAAACTTTCAAACCGCTGCTGAAGGCAAGTTTATTTTTCATGCCTAAGAATGGAGCGAATTTCAGGTGATACTTTCTCGCAGTGAAAGAATCTCCGGAATTTTCAGTTAACAATGAGTGAATCAAGCCGATTCATCAAACGAACTGATTCCAGGAGAGACGTGCGATTCACATGTCAGCATTTTACGTATTCTTCATGCTTGAGCCCATTTTCTCAACACGACCCAACGTTGGAATGTTTCAGGTGGACACAGCTTTGTCTAGCGTGGCTCATGGCAAGCGTCTCGCAGCCAACTCAAGACGAAACGAAATTCCGCATTCCTCTCTTCCAAATTTCCGGCTGGGGACTTCCGGCCATTCAGACCGTTGCCGCCTTAGCAAGCAGATCTGTCGATGCTGATGAACTGACAGGTCAGTGTTTTCTTTTTTCTTTCAACGTTCATAAACATTCAGTCGTGAAATAAGTGGGAAAAACCACAACATCAGAAGTTCGCAATGAAGGTATCAGGGATTTGCGATCTCAGTACTTTTTTTGTGTACCTAACATTTCGCGAGAAACACGACTACGATACTAGTTCTCTCCAAAATCAACTCTCAAGCTTTGAAAGAGCTCTCAAAGCTCAGGTCTAAATGGAGGGGATATTTCACTTCGGGTTATTGAAAGTCCATTTTTTTATCTGGCTAAAATCTTCATGTCAAAGGGAGCAAATGCATTAGCAGGGTTGCTGGTTCCAACTTTGGTTCCCCAAACAAAGTGGCAATACTCATGCTAATGTATTTCCTTCCTAGCTGGGCATGAAGAGTTTGATCAGATACAGAAGTGATCTCTCAACGTCGCGTGGGATATCCCTCCTATTACTTCCTGAACTTTGAGAGCTTTTTTGAGCTTGGGAGTTGCTCTCAGAGAAAACCCGAGGCATCATCGTGTTCCTCGCAGAGATTTTACAGAAAGAAGAAGTAGAGTATCTGTATGTATAGGGAGAGTATAGACTTGCCGAAATATGAAGCTCTTAAGGCTCAAAGAAAAACGTAAGCAACATTAACAAACAAAAATTGAGAAAAATAAAATCGCTTCCCGCCACATAAAATGGTGGATCTACTCATAAAGCAAAGCGGGACCTTACCATTATAGCATGTTACAATGTTAAGTTTTGCAGCTCGATTATTGAAACTATGTCGGCCCGACACGAGAAGACATAGCCCTATCTTGACCATGCAATATATCGCAATTCGATGTCTTCTACGGCTGCTTTAAAATTTCAATAATCGGCCCGCTGAGTCGAGAAAATCTCCGGAAAGAACGTCCGATACGCATAGCCTCCTCAGCAAGAACCCTCGAAAGGCCAATCAGAGAGCATGAATGTTTGATTATCGATATTTCCGTATTTGAAGCTGTGATCAAGAATCTATAAAGAAGGTGACATCCTACTTATTGATCCTTTCCCATAGGACAAATCAATCGATATATGGATTGCGTTTTGCAAACAGGAGCCAGAAGCATTGCAATGGTGCTAAGATTTTGCAACTTCATCCTTTGCAATAAAATTACTGAAACCATGAAAAAATATGAAATTTACAGAATAATGTATGTCTTGAATTTTTAGATTTCAGCGAGTAAAATAGGAACTGTTGATGGATAATCGAGTTTTTCCTCCAACACAAAAGAAGATGCACAATTTTAGCAACATTGCAATGATCCTGGTTCCTTTTTGCAAAATGCAATCCATATAACAGAGCAGAGATCCACTGAGGTCGATCAAATTAACAAAGCATCGTTTAGAATCCGTTTTAAATCCAAACCCTGGATTTGTAATATCTCATTCTGCTATTTTCCAAACCCAACCGGATCGCCAGGCTCCGAACCTGAAACAGAGTCTGCATATTCCAATAGTGATATTCATCCTCCCGACATGCATAAATTATCGGGGGGAAAGGGCGGGCGCACTGTTGACTCATAGACTCATCCCGCTCGATCTGTCGATGGTGAATTACGAGAGGAGTCGTAAAAAGCTGTCCGAGAAAAGTTTGAAAAGCGCGCCTCTCGTTAGCGGCCGAGAAAAGGTGTTGAGGGGTGGAGAAAGGGAGAGGGCCTCGCTCCGCATTTCCACGCATAAATCAACTAATTTAGTGAGCCGGGATGCTAAATACTTATATTTAAATAAACTTGTTCGAGGGGCGGACGCCCGGCCGGGGCGAGGGGGAGGGAAATGCAACACGACAATTAGCAGTGGCGTATGAAAAGTAAATTTATGATTGGCCATGCCTCGCAGAGGAGTTCCAGCTCGCGGATTCCACATGGCGCTGTTGCCGGCTCGACGTCATTTCCATATACCTGCAACCTGCTCTACCGTGCTAAGGAAGAACGCCGTATGAACATTTGAGGGTTGCCAAATTTCCCTTGATAAAACATGTATTTTAGACGCAATTTAAGTATATTTTCCCTTGAAATTTTCCGGTATTTTGGATTAAATTGCGCACAAAATTTTATGAAAATTTTGGGGGAAAATATTCACAGTTTTTCCATTAAATTTGGTTTTATCGAAGGAAATATGGCAACGTCTGAAGGCTCATACGGCGTTTTTCCATAGCACGGCAGTGCTAGTAAAATGCTCGCTGTTCGTCTCTAACTGACAGGAGCGTTAACCTCGAAATGTTAATTAGAATTTCAACGATTTTTCAGGGGCTGCACAGCACATGCAACCCCCAAAAATTATCCGAGAATTCGATTCGCATCCTTACTCGATATATTTTTGTTTTTCAAAATTTGAAAATGAAGATTTCACTATTTCTATACATACATTTCATCTCTAAAATCTCATTCTCTAAAGAAGTCCGCATTCATTTCGTCAGTAGTGGACTTAAGTGGCTTTTATTTCACAAAGGCACATATACAAGTTGATTCAACGTTTGGCACCGTCGTCTGTTACAAAGGCTGAATCGCAAGATCCTCCCCGCGTGCCGCTATGCTGACGTACAAGAACGTAACTCGACCGTCAGAGGAACTCTGGAATGCATGAAATTATACGAACAACAAGGGTCCTCTTAAACCAAAATCACGCCTCTGCAGTCAAAGATGCGACGATGTTACCTGGCACACAAATTAAATTATAACCTCCTGGATTATATTTCACCGTGCGGTTTTCACTGTTCATCACAGTCACCTTTCGTTCTGTTCTGCCCCGCGCCTTTCCTTATTCGGACGCAGCTCGCAGTCCGCACATGCAAACTTTGCCGCGCGTTATCGCCCAATCGAATTCTTGTCTGAAACAGAGGAGTCGGGACCACACAGTTTCAAACGAGAAACGCCATCGCTCGGAATCCGCCTTTACCGACCGCTGAATTTCCCTCTTTAACCCCCGCTTCTTGCACCCCCTTACACTTTTATCAGATCCTCTCGACTGTGAAATTTTTCACTTGCGGTCCATTTGTTATGTTATATCCCCCACGTCATTAAAATTCCGCATTTAGAGCTCTGGTTTTCTAATGGAATGTACGGTACTGTACTGAATTTAAAGGCAGGATGAAGTCTGCCTTGTAGGATAAGAATACATGCCATTTTAGAAAAAGATAAAGGTTATTTGATACACAACTTGTTTTCAAGTAACCTTTGAAAAAACAATCTTTAGCTTAACAGCAGAAATCCGAAATATTTCATGAACCACATGAATCAATGTAATTTTTATACTTAAAACTCGTTTTTCTCAAAAAATGTTACCCTCTGCCCTGAATAATTTAATTATTTAAAGGCCTCAATGATTAAAATGACACTCTCATAATCACACGAAAAAATTGAATGTTGCTTTAGCATTTATAAGGTTAATAAAGTGTGCGATGAGTGTATATGCTGAGTTTACAAAATAAAAATTGCTAGGTTAACTACGTCCATGGTTAAATGAGCAAATTCGATGATGAGTTGGCATTTTTTTAAATGTAAAATCAACATTTGATACTTATCGCTCATTTTTTAACAAAAGAAATGCTAAATCAACATTCAACTTTTTTTCCGTGCAACCCACTCACGCGTCTAAATCGTTCGTCAGAAAAGTTTTGTGTTAAAACCTTGTTTCTCTAAAAATTGAGCCAAATTGATAACTGTGTCCGTATTGAATCAGTGGCAGTTTAAAGACTTTAAAAACCGAGTGCCCACTGAGGATGTTGTCGCAAAAGGGGCACCAAAAAACGCGTTTCTCACCTTTTTTTGTCCTTCATTTTTACCGCTGTCACTCAATAGGACGTATTTATGCTAAAAGGAACTATGTTACACGCAATCCCTATGCACATAGTTCCTTTTATCATAAATAAGTCCAATAGTGCAGCATCTCGAACGGAGAGACGCTCAACGCACGTCGTTACAAGGGATAAGAAAAAAACTCGAGCGCCTTCAATTTTTCGTTTATGCAACGCAGACATCCCTTAAGTTCGAATAGTTGCATCAAGGCGCCAACATACACTCCTTATCGCGTATCGGGTTGAATATTTGACCTAGCAGTTGCAAAGCGTTCTGTTAATTAGTTTTTTTGTTTTTTTTTAATTACGTTCGTAAATAATTGAATGTAATCAATACATCCGTAATTTTTTTTTACGTTTGTAACAGCAATATGATGTTTGATTGCAATTTAGATGCTTATGTCGGTCAGTTTTCTTGCCCCCTGCCTTCGGTTCCTTGTTTTGTATAATCCAGTGTTAGAAATTTTGAAGTGAAATCCGCATTGTATTTCATCACTGGGGACTGATTATTGAAATTGATAGACAAAGTGATAGAAAACGTAGGTATAGAGAGTATGAAGCGATTTTTGGTTGAAACGGGCGGTTGTTAAAGATTGAGGGGAAAAGTGATGGACTAAATATAGAGTCTCTCGTGGGTGGCCGTGAGTTAGTCTATTGCTTATCTTCTTTATCCTTTGGAGCCACCAGCTTCCACCAATACAACAGCTCCATTTTCTTTTTGTCTTCTATATATTTTTCAATAATTGTCTCACTGATCGTATATGACTGTCAGACAACCCAGATGATACAATGCGGGGTAAAATGCGGCTCGTGAGAGCGGTAAGTATACCCCAAAAAAGAAGAATATATCCGGAAAAATAGTAAATTCCACATCGTATTTGTAGGTTTTCTGACGGCCACACATATTCTAGAATGACCCTGTTAAAAATTGGCAGTAGAATCTGTGTTCCAAAATACCATAGACCTACAGCCGGCTGTAAGATTTCCAATAGCTTCTATAGCCGGCTACACAATTTCTTATAGCCTTTTATAGCCGATGGCAATTAAGCAACAGCCAGGCGATAAAGTGTACGCTAAACGTCACTAATTACGGATGCTAGGGCTTCGTGAGTTTTTGGACCACTGCTCTTTGGGCTCTTTGGCTTTTGGGCCGTAGTATCTTGATTTATTTTGCGAGGAAAGCT